TAATATCATAGAAAGTAGGGCTGGAAGGGACCTCAAGAAGTCATCTAGTCCAGTCTCCTATTCAAGGCAGGCCCTTCTCTGACTAAGCCATCTCATCCAACTGTCCAACTTGCTCTTGAAAAATCCAAGAATGGAGATTGCACAGTTTCTCTAGGTGTTTTGTTCGAATGTTTGACCACCCTCATAGTCAAAAAGTTCCTCCTAATCCCCAACCTAAATTTATTTGCTGCAGCTTGAGGCTATCTCTCCTATTCCTTATTAAATTGTTAATATTTACTTAAATATGTGACTATACTATACGATATATTAATTAAATATATATTTTAATATTTACATAGAGAAAAGTGTATTCAACTTTTTCACCTTTGTCCACTTGCAACACACTTCTGTGGGATAGTTATTAGCATTTGTATTTGAGCCAGAAGACTATTGTTTTTGAGGGAGAGTTGGAAAGAAGCCTATATTTATTTGAGAAATACATGGATTTGCAATGGAGCCACTGAACACTGATAGATTTGGAACCCATAATCAGTTGGCTTTCCCCCCAAATCCTGCCCCGCAACATTTTAGTTCCATTTTCTAAGTGGGGGTCACATTTGCCAAGTGATATTTTTATGTTTAAACCTTGCTGTTTTGGGCTCTAGTCCTGGAGTAGATTAAAATATTTGTATAGGCTTACATCTACACCAGTCAGGAAGCATGACTGCAGCACATGTAGGTGTACCTGAACTAGCTTTAATCTATCTAGCTTGGGAATAGAGAGCAGAGAAACTGTGGGAGCATGAGCTGTATAAACCCACTCATTATAATTGATAGTTGGGGGCTAAACTCATGCTACTGTCACTTCATCGTTACCAGCAGTAGTATAACTAAAGGTGGGAATATGGCGCACCAGTTCTAGGCACCAGCTTAGGGAGAGGTACAGAACAGCAGCTGCTACAGTGCTGGCCTGGCTCCCTAACTGCATGTGCTGCTGCCCAAGATGCAGAAGTGCCTGGTTCTGCCCCTGGTTATCAGTACCCAAACTAGCTCTATTAAAGTTTGAGCAATCACACCTCTGGTTGCAGTGCAGAGATGGTGTTTGTTATAAAGGTCCAATATTACAAAATTAAAAAAAAAGGATACCCTTTGGAGATTGTCATGCATGTGCAAGGCTGCAGATTCACTGCTCCTCACATAGCAACATTATAATTGCAGTTTGTAATGCTGTAATAAAGCACTGTTTTTTTTCTTTTATTTTTGGGGAAAAAAACACTTGGACACTTTTAGGGTTCCGACAGTAGTGTTCAATGAAATGTAGCTAGCCATGTTAGTCTGAAGTCAAGTAGAGAGCAGGATAGGTTCACAATAGACTAACTAGTGTGTGTATGTGCATGTGCATGTGTGTGCATGTTGTGTGTATATACAGCACAAGGTTTGGTGAACTGTAGCTCACCTTTAGTATTCAGTGCAAGAGTTAAAACTTTCTTACATGGAAAAATTGCACCTATTTACTCAGCAGAAAAGTCTTAGTGTCCACTGCCCAAAACACTTCTCTGCATGATTAAAATGTGAAATGTCCTTTTAAATAAAGCTTTTTTATGAAAGTTGTCATGTCAAGGACTAGTGGTAGAGGTAGCCATATTCCTGAAACATGGTGGCATGTGTGGGTATCCTATAGAAAGATTGTAAAGCTCAAAGGAACAGTGGAGTTTGGAAGAATCCATGTTGAAAGCAAAGGATGAAGAGCAGGGGTTGTTAGGTTTTATTCATGGGTCTGCCACAGACCTTTCCATCACCTTGGGTAAGTCACTCAGAGCCTTACAATGAAGCTGAGAGAGGGAAAGTGGTCCAGTATTTTGGACTCTAACCTGGGATATAAGACTGAGGTCAAGTCTTTCTTTGGCCACAGCTTTCCAATGTCTTCAGGGCACATCACTGAGTTGGTAAAACAGGAATAGTGCCTCCCTTGGATGATATGAGGATAATATAAGTAATACAGATTGTAAGGTGTTTAGATACTTTAAGAGTTGGCACTAGAGAAGTACCTAAAGGAGGCAACATGGTGAGCCCTAGTATGAGGTACTGAATGTCTTTAAAATCACAGAGAGGTCAGTGGGGATTGAGAGTACTGGGCACCGTAGAGGTGCAACTCTCTGGGTGTCTCCAGATGATCAATCAAAAATCAAGGCATCAAAATAAATGGATCTTCTTGCAAATTATGGACATTAACTTTTTTGTTTTAATTGACCTGACTACATAGGAGGAGGATGATACTACTGTAATACTAAGTGGAACATCCACTGATTTGTACAAAATTCTTGGGGATTTCCTGATGCAAGACATGGGAGCAATACAAAGCATTGTTACAATTATATCTTAAGACATCTTAATGTTCATTTTGGAATGTGGGAACTGTATGGGTACTACCATACAGAATCAGAGCAGTGGTCCATCAAGTTCAGTGTCCTGCCTTCAACTTAGCTTAAGAGCTTTTCAGTTTTAGTAGTCCTATTTAATATTTAACTAGGAAGTATTTAGAGGCTACCATTGTCATTCTTAAGAGTACAAAACTATATGAAGAATCATCTGCAAATTTTTGAGTAGTAACATCCTTTAAGTAATTTCATTGGTACTACTCAGAGAGTAAGGTAACAAGTGATATGAGAATGTCAGACTGTACCCCTATATAAATAATGAAACTTGTTAAAAATCTCTTCCAGAAGGCAAGTACTTTCCCAATTCTCTGCCTTTTGCTCTGTTTGTCTATCTCTCATTCTTTTTTCTTTAAAAGATGTCTGTGCTCCCCACTTTGGGCTTAAATATGGCACTTGCAACTAAAAATATTCTTAAATAAATGCACGTGCCAGTTTAACCACAGCATGAGAGGTGTCTTTGGTTTTTTGAACTTTCAAGCTTGGCAGGCTGAACAAAATGAAGGTAGCTTTGCTTTAAGAGCTTAAGTGCAATAGTTGAGTCATGTATTGTTTACAGATTATTTTTACAAAAGAGCTATTTTGCTCTTTTAAAAGGAGTGGATCTGACACTAACCTCGGGCATTCAAAGAAATTGTCAAGCAAATTACTGTAACTCTAGAGTAAGAAGCTCTTCCCGGTGTTTGAGAATAAGAGTTATTTTGCTTGACAATTGACAGTACCATGAATACTAGAGCTGTGCATAAGATATCATGCCATAGATGTTTTCAGACTGTTATAGAGGAACTGCTAGCTGAAAGCCATTCCACAGGCTGCTAGACAATAGACTGGGTGGAAACTCCTGAGTGTGAGCCTATTGCTTTACTGATGTTCTGTCTTTCTAGTAAGTCAATTCTGACTATACCATCATCTTTCTTGCATGTTATACAGTTAATGCATTACAAAGAGCTAGGTAGGGCTTTGAACTTGGACTAATGGGAGCAGTGAAAAAGATTAGTGCTCAGAGTTGCTGAAGACAAGCTAGACTTCCTTTAAGGACAGCCTGCCTTTATAAACACTCAAAAGAAAGGGAGAAGTCTATGAAGGTAGCCTGTGTTTCAAAGAGGGCTGGCTCCCTTGACTCAAGCCTTTAAAGAGTAACCCCTTTAGAAGTGAATGCAGTTGTTACCACATTTTCCCATCGGCACACATTCAGTGGCTGTTGTTTGTTCTTGAATTTTCACACTTCAGTTGACATGCTTCCTGAAATCAAATGGTTTTGCCAGCTGATAAGTACAGCTGGAGACAACATGTAAAAATAAAGAGCAGATTTCTGTATGCACATGATAAAATGAATCTAAATCTATTAGGAAATAAATAACTACAAAACAAAGACATTTCTGAAAGGGAAAATGGTTTCATTTAAAAATCCTGATGCTTTAAACCAGCAATTCGCAACCAGGATGCCGTAGCACCCGGGGGTGCCTTGACATCCTTTCGAAGGTGGCACAGAGTGTTATCACTGTTAGCTGTGCAAACATGACTCACAAGACAAACCTAGAGATTCAAAATAGTAATTCAATCTTAAAAACTTTCTGACCTATCATGGTCTTTCTGAGTTCTTTGCAATAGAAAAAAATGCTGTCATTTTTCTGTAGTCAAAAAGCAGTTGAAAATTAAGAACTAGCATTTTCAGGGGGGTGCCTCAAGCCTAAAAAGGTTGTGAACAACTTCTTACACTACTTATTGACAACAAAAAGGCCTATCATTTCAGTGGGGGAAAAAATCAAAGTAACAGGTGATCAAAAAGAATATGCCCACACCCTG